ATCCAGTGGTTTTTTAAGTATGTACTTTAGAAGCCTGGGCCTTCCAGAGAACTCCAGACTCCAACTGTGGTCAGGACAGGAGAAAAGACACGGAGTAAGAGGCTGGCGTCTGGGCCTGGCACGCCAGCCTATGGTAAGAGAAGCTTTCCTCTCAGTTAATTTATTTATCGCCTCTATGTATGACTTTTCAACTTGGAAATAAGATTCTGTTTTTTAAGTGTATAAGTGAATTTTATCATTGGCTGTCCTTCATCCAATAAATACTGATAAACTTCAGTTTTTGAACATCTTGATTCTCGAACAGTTTGGTTCTTGACCAAGTTGTTCATGGAAAAAAATGTCTCGGTTGTCTCATAAAGCTTTGGGTCTCAATTCTTTACCCTCCAACCCTTCCATGCTGATACCAGGATGATCAGTCATATGTCTCTCAGGCGACAAACAAAGGAGATTCAGTTTTCGAACAAATCACTTCTTGAACAGTCTTCTGGAAAAAATTAAGTTCCAGAACTGAGGTTCCATCATATTTTTTAAGCATCTATGGTGTTCTAGGTACTATGCCAGCCCTGGAAGCTACCAAGATGAGTAAGTTTTCATGCTAATATAGGGTTTCAGGTGCTATTAAAGTGCTTAAAGATGGAACTATAGGATCAAGTGGAAGACATCAGTTTAGCATTAGTTTGGGGAATCATTTCACAAATGAGAAAACTGGGACCCAGGTAGTTTAAATGACTCTTGCAGGGTGGCACCGCAGTGATCCATACTGCCAACTATTTATACAGATGCCTCCAGCTCCGGCCTGTGCTGCTTCCAAAAAGAATGGGATCCACACACCAAAGTTCACTATTTTATCCTTTAAACACTTGAGATATGGCTTATGTTCCAAACACTGTGCTTTCCCAATGTCTAATACTAGGGACCCCAAAAATGTTTACTTTTTCTCAGACATTGAGAGGAAGCAAGCAGAGAAAAATTACCTGGAAGGTAGTTACCTAAATCAGTATAAACCAACATGGCTGAAGAGGGGAACTAGCTGTAAGATATATGAAAGACCTGCTTAATATACATAAATGAGACAAAAATAGGGACGTCACATTATCCTTTAAAATGCCATCTTCACACGCTTTGGCAAACACACTGTGCTGCTGGTTTTTCCACTATAATAAGGGCTTAGTGAACATGCAGCTACTTTAAGTGGCCAAGCAAGAGTGTGCTTTTTTGCACAGACGTAGACTTTCTGTGGATGGAACAGCATTTTTTATTTTGGTAGGTTCCCACACTTTGATTTTCAGCATCCCACAGGATTGTAAAACACATTCAACATTTTTATATTGGAGTGAACATATTTTTGGCACCAGAAGTATTCATTTTGGTTCAATTCATAGTTGTATGGAAAGGCATATGAACTTGAACTTCCTTTAAAGAATATAGCCATGGATTACTTGGATACTGATATATAGTCTAGTTTTGGAAAAAACGTAATTTATTGCTAACTCTCATTTTAACTTTTTAAAAATCACTGTGTTATATCGATTTAGGAGAGGTCTGAGTAAATGATAAAAACTGGCCTGAAATTTGATGTTCTCCTGAGAGGAATAAAGTATAATTTAAATATTAAAGTCATTAACCCCAATATTTTTAAAAGATAAAATAGACATAATACAAGGTCCCTGGATTTGATTTTTCTAAGCTCCAAACATATTTGCAAGTTTTGAATGAAACCATAACTCCTTTAAAAATACAAGTAATTCATGTCCAATTAATCATGTAAGTTTCCCTCTAGATTGCTTTCAGACAGGGCACATTCCTAGGACATTAATTTAAGCTTTCATTGATTCTATAAGTAGAATCAGTACATCAAGTGTGGCTTTGTAAGGCAATAGCTAAGCAAACATGATGCTAGTCCACTGCAGTGAAACTATGATTTTGTATTAATAGAGATGCTATTATAGCTCTTTTTTCTATTCATATGGTAGTAAAATTATTTTTAAAAATATAGTCTACATATCCAATCAAACCTTGGGAAGATTTTTAATTGTTTTATTTTGATCTGTCCAGTATTTCCCCTTATATTTTAACATTTTCCCCCCTCAAGGTGCTGCCTGTATTTGCAAACAGGGATGGATGAACTTGGCCAATGTTAGAGAACTCCATCACCAACTGAAGTCGTCCTTCTATTTCTCAAAAATAGCTCCTGAACATCAGAACAAATTGTGGAGCTAGTAAACAACCCAAAGATTTCATTTTAGTCAAGGCTAAATAATGCAGATGAGTAAGATATGCAGCTATACTTAGATTAAGCAAAGCAAGAAGAAATTCTCAGCTTGAGGCTGGTACAACGTTCAGGGACAATGTGTCAATTATCTGGTTAATTTGATCAACACAGACAGTGCCAGGGGATATTTCAGGCTCTAAAGATGAAAGCAAGAAGGAACTCAGCTATTCTGCTTTGCACTTTCCATCATTCTTGTCTTACTCTTTGTTGTGGTTTCCCTACAGATGATATATGTTTAACGGCAAGCCTTAAATTATCAACAGGACTGGCAACACCTACTGGAATGGCTTTGTGTTTATGAACAAAACTGGAGAAACAACAACAAAAACCATTTGCTTATCACAAAGGAGTAAAACACACATTTCTCATGACGAATGATTTGCACGTGGTTCTGGCTGCCCACGGCGGAAGCCGTGAGTGGTGCCTCACCCTACTTCCTGGTCCACATTATTTTTCAGCCGCAAAACATGGTGCATGTACATTTGCTTAGAGATGGATCAAAGTCCTCTTGGCGAGACTAATGAAGCCATCCACGTTGCCCTAAAACACATACCTTGCAAGCTAAATATACCCCCCTAAAGAAAACAGACCTTTTCTAAAGAAAAGAAAAAGATGTTTGTGGCTTAGATGCTGGATAGAAAACAAACAGAACAAACATACACATCTAAAAATAAGGTTTAAAAAAAATCCAGAAATCTCTAAGCAGAGAGTTCACTTCCTGTGCCTTAGGTTTAGAGAAAGTGCAATTTCAGGGGCTGGATTCATGGTCGAGTTCCGACCACCCTAACCTTAGTCCAGTTTGATCTAGGGTTCCTATGCTTATCCTCTGGATGACCTGAGAGGGTTGGAAGGATATTCTGTAATGAGGGCTTCTCTCAGAGTTAGTGCTGTGAAATCTCTGAGGGACCTTCTGTCACACAGGCAGAGGGAATAGGACCTAGTACTTCAAGTTCATAAGATACTGGGAAGTCGACTTATGGTCAAGATCTAGTTCCTAGCCCTGGCTGGTGTGACTCAGCTGGTTGCAGCGTTGTCCCGTAACCAAAAGGTTGCAGGTTTGACCCCCGGTCAGGGCACTTACAGAATACAACCAATCAATGTTTCTCTCTCACATCAATTTTTTTCTTTCTCCCTTTCTCTCTAAAAGCAATGGAAAAATGTCCTTGGATAAGGATAAAAAAATAAAAAAGAGTTCTAGGGCCTAGGCTGCAAAATCAAATACTGTACTTACTAGGGCCAGAAATTCTTTTTTCTTAAAATATCAAAAATCTCTATTTTTTAAATATAAGAAATCATCTTATATTAAAGCATTGATCCATTTTGTTTTAATACGCAGATCTGGGAGCTGGATTTGGCTGGTGGTCAGCAGTTTGCTAACCATGGTTTGAGGTTTAGATTATATGTATATATAAATAAAATGACTGGAAGCAAAAATGATGATCATGGTTACCAACATTATGTGACAAGTACTCTGTAAGCATTGAACTTCGCTTAAATTTCCCTTACAATAGCCCTAATAGTTAGCTAGTATTGTTTGCCCATTTTATAAATGTGGGTATTAAGTGACACAGAGGTTAAGAAACTTGCTCAAGTTTATAGCTAGTTAAGAGCCTGTATGCTTAACCATACTATGTGTACAATATCTGACTTAGAATCCAAAGTTATAGGTAGTCACTTTTTTTACCTGTCTTCTACTCATTTTCCATAGTAAATGTTTAAGGCTAATGCCTTTAATAATAACAGCAACAACAACAATAATAACAATTACCATTATTGTTATTGAATTAAATGTTTCCTTTAACTGAGAAGAGCAATATGACCAGACCGAGTGGAGCCATCACACTCTGATGTGGAAAACACTTGGAACTACAGTTGGAAAACAGTGAACTACAGTTCAGCGCTGCTTTTTCCCCAGCTGTGAGGTTTAGGCAAGTCTTTTAAGCTCTCTTCACACTTCTTCGCTTATTTTTCTGGCAAGTCAGTGAGGCAGGTTTTCTATCCCAATTTTGTGGGTGAGAAACTGAAGTTCAAAATGACCAGCGTGAGTGCCCCGTTCTGTGAGCCTTCTGGAAGGGGTATCCAGTGTGACTCCCACACAACCTGAAGCGAATCCCTTGCCTCTGAAAGAGGATGACCAGCCCCATCTTCTAAATGAAACTCCAGGAGGACCAAACAAAATGCGCATAGTAACAGTCCACAGAGTCATGTGCAGATATGTGGCCTGTTTTCATGATCATTATCACCCATTAATTATTTTTCTTTTCTTACCTATAAGAAAATGGCGACCTACAAAGGAAAGGTGGTTTACTATGAATAAAACTTTCTTGGCACTCAGGCACGTGTTCTTGCTACTGTGTCACTGTGCCTGGGCCAGTCGACCCATGTGGTGAATTGCTACAGTGGACTGCCCAAATGGCGGACACAGACAAACGGGAACAATGTAGAAGGCATTCCTAATCTATGTCCTCCTTAGCATTCAGGACGGCCAAGTGTAATGGTGAAAGGCTGGCAAGTATATGTGAAAATCACACATTCTCTTCGAGACCTATTGGTTTCTTGCCCTTTTTTCCCAGTGGGGTTGTTGTCTTTTCCCCTTCGCACTCTGAAGCTTAGCCTGTTAGCAAATATGAACTAGAAGGATTGGAGTTCCTTAAACCAGTTCAAATTGGGTTCATCATCCTAAACTTAGCAAGAGGCATTGAGAATTGAATGAACAGAAGGGCCTTACTTCAAAGACCAGTGTCTCATTAGTGGGTCCCGGTGCGTACAGGCGTTCGGGGCGGTTAAAGGCGCGCTGGTACTCAAACACGGTCCCAGCGAAGTGGAACTCGCCAGGCCAGTCGATGCTCCAGCCCCCCGTCAGGTAGTACTTTTGGTGGAGGCTTCGGACGGCGAGGTAACTGGAGGATATCTGCACTTCCTGGATCTCCACACTCCGGGCCCCCGCGGGGACGATGACTACTGGGTAATACTCTAAACGGAAAGGACAGGACAGCTCTGTTTTCCGCTGAAGGCAACTAGAAATGCTCAGAGACCTGGAGTGGCCATTTTTATAGAGTGAGGTTTTTAAATCATTAACTGCCATTCCTTTCTACTCCTTGGAAGGGAAAATGATCAATTACTTCATTTTCCAAGTGGTGGGAACACCAGAAAGAGAAACATATGCGGCTTTCCCAAGCAGTTGCATGTGGACAGAGGCTACACGTCAAGGCCATGAGACTCAAGAATGCTTTTTATTTTTCATCTACCTACAAGAAAATTATAGCCATGTATTCTCACACTGATATTCAAAAAACAGGGCTCAAAGTTAAATCTTATTCAAGATGTTTAGATAATTGCTTCAAATATTCATCTGACATTGCAAGGGTATATTATCTAAGTTTCATAATAAGTTCTTTGTTTAACAAATGAATGTGGAGCATGTGCCAGCCTGGATAGCATATTAAAACTGTCTAGTAGGAGGGAATGTGTTTAACACATCAGTGAGATGTGTGTGTCGATAAAACTCTTCACATTAAAAGACACATCAGTGAGATGTGTGTGTTGATAAAACTCTTCACATTAAAAAACACATCAGTGAGATGTGTGTGTTGATAAAACGCTTCACATTAAAAACCCACCTCTCCTCCCTAGCTCTTGCAGGAGCGCCAAAAGCTGTCACTGTCCGTGTATCGGGTGAGCCAGGTAAAGGCTCGCCCGCATTCAGCACCCCCTGAACTTGTTCAGTAGCAGAAGATGTGTCCCACCAGCGGTAGCAGTGAAACAGCAGCATCTCTTACCATTTGCTTTATGCTGGTTGAGGTACAGGCCTTTATAAAACTTGCAAGTCGAATTATCACCTTTGCAAACACCACAGGCATCAGAAACTGCCTTAGAGCCAAGCTCATGATCGCATCCCACTGGCTGTGACAAAAGCCAAAAAAAAAAAAAAAAAAAAAAAAAAGCGAGAAAAATTCAGAGTCAGAGAAGCCGGTGGCTAAGAATAACGGAGAGGTCCATGGTTTTCTGTACTTATAGGACATTATGAAGGAGGTTCAGCTCTATGGTTAAACACACAGTGTCAACTTGGGCTGACTCAGGGTTCAAATCCTTCCTCTGCCATTACTAGATGCCTCATTAGGCAGTTACATAACTTATCTATGTTTAGATTCTTCATCTGTAAAACTGGAATAAAAAGTCGCCATTAGCAACAATGGCGAAGGAGCCTATTTGGGTCAGCTCCACCACAGAAACATAAAATGCTGGAGAACACGTGCGCGCGCGCACACACACACACACACACACACACACACACACACACACACAGCCCTCCCCGTCCCCGAAGAGATCAAAGATCTCACAACCCAATTAAAAAAGTGGATACCCAAGTAGAAAACTAACAATAGTAGTACTATTTCAAACACATTTGTGAGGCTCTAATCATGTAGTGAATGCACTTAGTGAATAAGTAAAGTTTACTATTATTATATACATTCCTCTGTAATTTTTACGACTACTATGCAAAGTAGGCTACATCAGGATCTCCATTTTATTACATAAAGATGGAGCAAAAAGGAAACTGAAAAAATCAGACTGGGGCCACACAGCAAACAAGTGGTAAGCTTGCAGACAGTGAGTTTGAAAATGTTGCCCCTTAACCCTACGCCACCTGCTTTTCTGCAGACAGAATCTCTTGTCACACTTCTCACATTTGCATTTGACATGAGGAAACACAAACATGGTCAGACATCCCAAAGCAGAAAGGTTCTCTTACTTCACAAATCCCATCAATACAAACGTCATTTTTGTTTGGGGAGCAGGGAGTGCCATCTTTCACCTTGCTGGACATTGCGAAAAAAAACTCAAAGTTCTCAGCCTTGCAGTACAGTCTACATCGATCTTCCTCTAGAAGCAAAGAGATCAAGACAAGACATGGTCAAGAGGAATCATAGGAAATTGACATGACAAATTAAATTTATTTAGAACGCTGGCATGATCAAAGTGGCACGTGTTTTTTACAGGGTTGTGAGTGTATCCATGTTTGTGCACGTGTGCTTATGTGCATGGCTTTTTAAACTAGGAATGCCACCTCGTAATCCATATAAAGCTGCTTTAGCATTAACATATAAGAATTTTATTTTTTTTACTCCTTAGTAATAGCCATGATACACACATGGGTTGTATAGTTACCCACCTTGGAGAGTAAATATTTGAAACTTCATGGGCGCTAGGACAATATATAAATGAAGGAGTGTTTTAAGTGCCAATAAAACTTTATTTTTTTAATTTTATTTTTCAATTACAGTTGACATTCAATATTATTTTATATTTGTTTCAGGTATTCTGAATAGTGATTAGACAATTACATAATTTACAAAGTGAACCCCAGTTTTTATTCAGGTGCCCCTTGGCCTCGTTCACTGCCATCGCAATATTATTGACTGTGTTCCCTGTGCTGAACTTCACACCCCCAACGGCTACTCTATAACTACCAGTCTCTGCTTCTTATTGCCCTCACCTTTTTCATCCAGCCCCCAAACCCTTTCCTCTCTAGCAATTCGTTTGTTCTCTGTATCTGTGAGTCTGTTTCTGTGTTGTTTGCTCATTTATTTTTTTTCTTTAGATTCCAAATATAAGTGAAATCATATGGCATTTGTGCTTCTCCAATAAAACTTGTTGTTTTTTTTTTTTCCAAAAAGCAGGTCAGCTTTGATGCACAGGCCATAGTTTGCTGATGTGTGATTTAGGACATGGTTTACTTTAGATATTTATTCAATCAATTAAGAGGAAAAAAATTGGGCATTTTGGAGAAAAGGTATATGTTCCATAATGTTCATAAAACCTACAGAGAAGAATCATATCATGAAAAGGAAGAGGAAGCAAATAAACTGAACCTAAAGGCTAAAAATAATTAACTTTTATTGACCATTAAGTTTCTGATATCACAGGCAAAAAGAAAACAGTATTATACTTAATAGGGCTCTTGTTATCAGAAAGAAGTTATTACGTGAGAGTCTCAAATAGAGAGTTCTCCTAGGCCAGCGACTCCAGATGACATTTCTCATGAGACCGGAGGTAGGCAACACTCTGATATCCCTGACCACGGTCTTACAGCAAATGTCCAAACAGTTTGCAAAGTTGTGCTTCATCAAACCTCGCAATAAAGGACAAAGCCAAAAATAAGGGAAAAAGTTCAATCATTATGTTCCAAATAGGCAGATGCATGGATGAATTAATTTTTTTTCTACCACCTAGGAATTTTTTAAATGGCGGCTTTATTTAACACCTCCTACTTTTTGCAGATGAGATTAGGAAGCTGGAATTAACAAGTTCTAGGAAGTTCCCTTTTTCCAGCACAGGTTCATGAGCAAGTTATGAATCAGTCCATTGGAAACACAGGAGAAGAAAAAAGCTCACTGTTGCAAGAGAAACATGGTCTACGCTTATGAATAAGTCATCCCTTCTTTGTCCCAAGCTCAATGAAAGTCACAGGGCCTTCAAGGAAGTATCGAAAGGAGGAGAGGCAGGGACAAGAAGGACTTCAATCTTCTGTCGCCATCCCACTGGGATCAGAGGTCCCACGGCTGTGGGGCCTGTTGTACTCCATGTAGTCTGCTCTACATCGGGCAGGGAGTCTGCCATGCAATCAGTGCTCAGTACACAGCTGTTGAGTGAAAGAATGAAACAGCATGCTCCTTGCTTAGTAAAATCTCCAGTAAAATTGGTGAAAGAACCTTAAAACCAAAAAACATCTTATATGTTATAAGATTCAGATGTATTCAAAATGGGGGCTATTTAATGGCTGATCATAATCTAGTAACACATTCCATAAACACTATATTTGAATGAGAGATGTGATGTGGGAAAGGCCAAGGGATATCCAAGGAGACAAAGAAGCAAAGAGCAGAAGAGGAAAATGAAAAGGACAAGAGTCTTGGGAAAGTACCATAGATAATAAATAGGGAACTTTGGGAGAGAACAACCAAGAGCAAGCAAATCTTCAAATAAATAGTCAGAATTGAAAACAACTGTAGCTATTCTATTGCGTTGTCCACTGGGACCTGTTGGATAGTAACCTTCCTAGGTAACCACTCAGTTCGTGGTAGAATGCCGCTAGTGACGGAGAGCTTACAGCTCATAAAGGGTCACGCTTCCACTATGGGCAGTTGATATTTATCTATTCATCCCGAAAGTTATAAAAATACCAGTATAACCTAAATTCTTGTGGGGGGAAAAAGGTAATAAATAAATGGTTACATACTATAAATTCATGCACTGGTAAGGATTATGAAGCATAAAGCAGAGTAAAGGTCCAAAGATCATATTTTGGACAGACCAGCAAGTGGAGTCTCCCTGAAGGCCTGATATGGCTAGACAGTTCTTAGTCCTTGAATTAATTCTATTCACTGAGGCAATTTCAAATAAATTAAATCCCCCTCTATTCACTACCTCTTTGAATTTTTGAAAGTAAATAGTGTCTTCTCTACAGGAAGTATCTATATAGGTGTCTCATTGCTTCCTCCTAAGACAGAAAGTTCAGAATTTTCCTGTCTGTCTGTATCTGTTTTAGACACTCATGACCCAGAAATGGTCCCGTGCCTTCTGAGGGGCTGCACTGTCGTCTTTGATTTGGAGGTGTTCCTTGTAGTAATGGTGTCTCTAATTGCATTAGCTGCTTTACAGTAATTGATAATCTAGGCTCATTTTGGGCTTTTGCACAGGAACAGCCTGCAGTCTTTTCTCCCACGAGTTGTCATTAAATTTAGTCTCTTTCCATTTCACACAGGTGCAGCTGGGATTCCCATGTTTCCTTTTTCCAGGGAGTCTGGATGAGTTCTGATAAATCCAGGGAATGGAGACAACGGAAAGGGAGCTAGAGCAGGTGACAGCTTACACGACACAGGTAATAGAAAGCACAGTAAATTTGTAGATTATAGTTCAAGTAAATGTTTTGATGCTTGGCCACAATGAAAACAAATTAATTTAAAAGTAGAAGATGAACCATTACTTTAGGTTATAATACTAAGAATCTACTATGGAGACATTTTTATTCATGGGTGTGGGTGTGTGTGCGTGTGTGTGTGTACTCTGCAAACAGGCTTTCCCGTGCTTGTAATCATCCAACATGTCAGTTACTGAGACCGGTGTCTCTATGGGGCATATATGATTTCATGATTTTTTGGTCTGGATAATTCATACCAATTTCAATTAACATCCCTGGGAGACTTAATTGCTGAAATGTCAAAGGTAAGTTTAGAAATATAAGTTCATTCCAAACACATGAATACTTTGGCTCACAGATGTGGGAGACAAGGGGTGTCTTGTGAAAAATTAAGTGTGGAAAAATAAATAAAACCTATGAAACTGAATTTAAAAATGAGCCAGGACATATCTGGAGAACAAAAGATAAAAACTGAAACTCTTTTATAACGGCAGCAATTTCTTCTGGGTCATTCGTTCACATTGTTGTCCACACAGAGACATGTTAATTTGAGGGGCATAGGGACCAAATTACCTTCCACTTTTGTGTAGGGTTTCCACTGGTAGAACCATCCACGGAAAGGTTTGCTGTTATATTCGGCGCATTGCTGGGCTCGAAAATCCACGCTATTTTCATTACAAGGGTTAATATTGCACAACTGATAAATGCGGCTCGAACCGGGACAGAACTTGCCACCATACTGAGGCCTAAAAAATAAAATTAAAGAACTTTAATGCTGGCAGTCAAAGGGCTCACTATTGATCACAGAGAGTAAGCAATGGAGGGACAGTCCGGGGGAGTGTGGCCACAGTGCATACAGTCTTTGATGAGAATGGAAGTAGGTAGCAAACAACACATCCCTTTCTGTATCCATGGCAGATACAACCAATCAGAAACTTTTTGGGGGGCGGGCGGAGGGCAGAGCAGGGATGTGTCCTCAAAATCCCTCTCAACATAGCCGTCAGGTAGTCACCACCTCTGCTCATCAACTGCAATTGGTGGGGTAGATCAAACTTAGTTGGCATCTCTGGTCCCGTTTTTACATCTGGCAGTTTCCTTAGAGACTGATGAATGCATATTCTTGACGCTCATCCTGTCACTTTAAATGTTAGGAGATCTGTAAACACACCTCTGTGTTCTTATTAAGGTAAACATGTGCTACACACACATACCCCCACATTGGCGTCAAAGCTCTTCAACTGCGAACCCGAACACCTCTCCAGCTTTTCCCTGATTTCTAGACACTCGCTGTCTTCCCATGGGGCACCCTGCACCTGCTTCTATGTAGAAATTCAGGGCGCTGGGGAGAGGGAGCAGGGAGCCTCAGCTGCCACGCTTTCCAATCCAGCTTTGTCAGTTGCTGAGCTGCTATTTTGATTGCTGTCTGACTCTTGTGTGTTTTACTCTAATTGTTCCTAAACTCCAAGGCCAAAATTCCCTTGTTTTCATCTGTACAATCACTTTCTAACTTTGCAGGTGGCCCACTTCTTTCCTGCCAAGCACGATGGGAAATGGATTTCAAGAGTAGGGAATCCCATTAGAACATAAATAATTGGGATCTAATGGCAAGCTCTTTAAGATCTTAGTGGGCAGGCTGCAAAAACCAGAAAGCAAAATAAAGAAAAAAGGAGCACAAAGCACACTGAGGATCACCAATAACACCTTATCCGGCTTAGTCCGGCACAAGCAATGGCTCCTTTTCATTCCCACTTTTTTTTTTTTTTTTGTAGTTTTCTCCAAAGGTTAAACCCAATGATGCATCACCTCACACCAAAGCTCGATGCAAACATGTAACATGAAAGAAGGTTCCAGGTTAATAAATTTATGTGATTAAAATTCCTTGTCTCTTTAGGAAGCACAAGAATGCTATAAAACAACCCTGGAATCGCTTCAGCATATTTTATCAAATCCCCCTATAACCGCGTGCTAAAATGGATTCAACAGAAACAGGAAGTGTCATGCTGCCAGAATGAGATTTTTCTGCTATTTCAAAACATTGGAGTAACTACTTAAACATCCAGCAGTCACTGCGCTAGATCAAATCCCTGAAGACTTCTTACATCATTATCTAAAAAGCATTTAGAAAAACTTGAAAGTGCCATCTGACAGTCTTCCTATTCCTGGTCATCTTTCCAAGGCAGATGTCAACCTTTCTCAGCGTAAGACTCCGAGGTTTTACAAATAGCCTTCATTTAGACAATTTAGATGCAATAAAGTGAAAGAGGACCGCACGTGTTACTTTTTCAGCTCAAAAACTATCATGTGGAAAAGACCTCAAAACTCATAGAGCCATCGCCTCATTTGACAGATGAAGAGAAAAGGGGCTGACAGGGCTCCCCAAACTTGCTGCATCAGGGCCGCACAGCTAGAAGAGGGCGAGCTGACCCTCTCATCTCTGGACTCTCCCGGGCGCTTTGCCTTCTCCACTCCCCGGCACTTCACTGAGTTCAGAATCGACCCAGGCGAGGCAGAGGAAGGAAGGAAAGGAGCGCAGGATGGTCCTGGGGCTGGCCTCTTCTCAGGAGGCAGCTCTGCATTTAACTATTCTCTGCTTCTTCCTGTCTTATCTTCATACGATTTTATTTAACCTCTTTATCTGTAAAGTGGGGGCGATCATGACAATGAACTGAGAACATTTGTAAAGAATTCAGGGCGGAGTCTAGGGCCCAGTTAGCACAAGTAAATCCGAACTATTTTTAAATGCTTTCTACTTTTAGTGACCAAGAATTTGGACTTTTCCATCAAACCCTCACACACAGGTACATTTTTCTGCAGCTAGGAACGTTGAGTGTTAGGATAAATTAACAGAAAATTCTACTATGGCATCCCTTGATATAATAAGTTCTTGAAGATTAAAAACAAAAATATAAACAGAAGACAAATGTCTGGGCACATGATTTCATGTTTATATTGGACTACTATAAAGTATATCCATAATTTGCTTTTGCATAATTGACCAAGTCCTCCCTATAAATGGTTTTAATATTGGCTGCCAGTTCAGGCAGCTCTGTTAAACACACATGCATATTCCTGGGCCCCTCCCCCGACATCTCCATGAGAGCACACGATGGGGGAGATCCAGAAATCAGTTTTAAAAGTACACTTGGTGATTCTGATAATCGGCCGAGCCTGGAAACTACTGGTTGGGAAAAGAGCCAGAGATTTGATTCAGTTACTATTCTGGAGCTCTGACTCTAGTGGCATATCATTCTTTCTCAAATAGACTCGCATTTTAGGAAAGTTCTAGAATACCTTAACGTGTTTCATTTTCTTGATTTTAATTTCACTGTTTTCTTAAACAGAGTTTATAGGAATTTTACTAGGCTCCCTTAAGTGTAATAGTTTAATAATAAGGGGCCCAGGAAAAATATCAAAGGATTAAGACGGTGGGCCTTTGGTCCCACTCCAACATCACCAGCCCCGTGACCTGGCCGAGAACCGCTGCTGTGACTGGGACCCTCTGCTGCCCCATCACCCACTTGCAAAGTAACTGGATTAGGCAACAGGTTGCAACTCATGTATCTGTTCCAACATGATTGGGAGCAAATGCCTGGAAAGTGTTTGGAGAAGGTTTCCGAGGGCTCAGTAGAAAATGAAGTTTCATCAATTAAAAATGTCTGCTGCAGACATGGGAAAAATAAGAAGGGCCATGTGTACCCGGGACTGGCCATTCCAGGACCAGATAACCCGTAAACTCTTGTGAAGCTGGAAAGCTTGAAATAAATCCATGAATCGGCCAGGAATAATTCATTTTTTATGAAACAAAAATATGTTCTGGGAAAGCCATCATCGTGTGAAATAAAAAGCTCACACTGCTTTCACATGAAAAAACAAAAATGGGTAGGCTGAGTGATGTGAATGGCCCAAATGTTTAAATTGAAGGAAGAAAGAAATCAGTAACTTGAAATAGGGAGGAAAAAAAGCAGTTGTGCTACAATGAAGTGAAATAAGAGCAGAGAACAACTTATTCAATTGTCTTGGGATAGCCGATCACTTACTTGTTTTATTTGTGACTTCAAGCTTAATCAAAGCAAGCAGTACCATGATTAGCCTTAATCTTGTTTAAAATTAAAACTGCACCAAGTGGAACTTACTGTAGTGATTAATTCTTCTATTAGGCATCTCTAAAACTACAATATGCTATTTCCATGAGCAATGCCTTATTCCGAGAGCTCGCAACCCCACAGACACAGGAGAGGGTTTCACCGAAATCTCAGGGGCGTCACTCGTGCACTCTGCCTGCAGGGCTGGGAAATCAGGCAATCTCTTTCTTTCTTGGGAAAGTATCGAGATGGTAAAATGTTGTGATGTATGAAAACCAGAGCCATGAAACATGCTGCAAAAATGAAATGTAATATAATGAATTTTAACAATTCCATCCAAGAGGAGGGCTACATTCAAAGTAGAGGAGGGTGGCTTTAAAAATGACATAAATTGTACATGTATCACAAACCTCCCCGCCATCATACATAGTTACTGTGTCTGATTAGTCTGGCTCAACTGGGGGTGACTCTGCCCCCTACAGGACACTTGGCAAAGTCTGGAGACAGTTTTGGTTATGGCAGCTTGGAGGCTGGGGGGAGGGAGAGCCGTCCTACTGGCATCTAGTGCGGAGAGGCTAGGGATGCTGCGTAATCATCTGCCACGTACAGGATGAAGCCCCCACACCGAAAATTTTTCCAGCTTAAAACATTAATAGTGTCGAAGTTGAGAAATCCTGCATTAGCCTGAGTTGAACCAATGAGCACCTGAGAAACCGTGGTTAATGTGTCTCCCCACCCTCCCTTGCATTTTAGAACAAATCAATCGGCCTTTTGATCTGGCTCAGCCTGCTCACTCCCATAAAGTATCATTTGTCTCTTGAAAAATTTGCTTGGGCTCTAGTTTCATTATTTATTTTACTTCTCAATCTACCAAACATTTATGCAATGTTTACAACCTGCCAGGCACTTATAAAAGCACTTTGCAAATATTTACTTAGTGGATGGAGGTAGTATCTTTATCCCATTTTTACCAAGGGGGAATCTAGAGCAGCAGAGTGCACTGTCTATGGCCATGGAGCCGGCGGGGGTGGGGGTGGGGCGGACGCAAACCCGGGCTATCGGGGTTGGGTCTGTGTCCTCAGCGCCCGTGCTGTGCCACCGTTCAGGTCAGGCTGACAAGTCAACTCCGCTATTTGCCAGTGTCCCACCCCATTCTCCTCACTCCGTGCCATCCTCCGAAGTCCAGTTTCTTTAGTAAGGCCTCTCCCACTGCTTCTGAGGGCCGGCCCCCTGCTACCCTGTGTTCCTAGTGAGTTTTAGGATGAAAGGATAAAAACCGCATGGACCCCAGAACCTTTGATGGAGGGCCCCAGGGTGTGTCGGACATTCTACCGATACGACCTTTAATCCTCCCCAAACCTTCAGAGGTGAGTAGTATCACCTCTATTACATACACACAAACCTGAGTTCAAAGTTCATGTGATGTCCCCAAAGCCACGGAGTTAATAAGGGGCAGGCCAAACATGTGGAATCATATCTTTCTGTCTCCTAAACCTGAGCTCTTTCTACATAACCATGCCAATCAGAAAATACACATGTGATTCCCATGGGATTTGGAGCTGATGAAAGGAACATCAAACACCCCTCTTCCATAGCACGGGCTGTAGCCAGAGTACTAGGCCAGTGGGTGCTCACAGGTGATCACAGGCCAATTTCAATCCACAAATGTTTTATTTCTCACAGTGTTTTTTTTTTTTAAAGAAAATTGAATTTGTCATCAATATTTTAAAAATCAGGACATTTCACACTTTTTTTTTAGATTTCTGGTTTCTCTTGAAAAGTCAGGCAGATCTGTCAACCGTGTTGATGCACATTCCTGTGAAGCAGACATTGGCATACTTTCCCCAGTCCGTCAGTCTGAGAGAGACACGCTTGCTCCCCCGGCCAAGCCCCTCTTCTCCGCGGTCTCACGGTCGCTGGGTGGTGGGACCGTGTCGCCCCAATTTAGATTCATAAAGTAGCTCGGACCATGACTGCCGTTACGGGAGCCCCGGGTCACCATATTCACACGTGGAATAACTCCTTTGCTGGTGTTCTGTGTCTGCCACCGTGCCTCCCCCGAGTGCACACCAACCTTCACATGCAACAGTAAAGCCCGAGTTGATGGCTCTGAACCAGAGAGAAGAAAGCTGCCCTTAGAGGCAAAACAGAATCAGTACGTTACCGGCTGAAGGTCAGTGCCTTACAAACACGGGCTTCCTGCGGGAGCCTTACTTGGGGTTGTTGCAGTGTCTCTCTTGGTACTTGACTCCTCCACCACACGTTCGGGAACACTCGGACCACTTGGACCAGGCGGACCACTGGCCGTGGATGGGCCGGGGCCCGTGCTCCCCGAACTTCACACACTGGCCTTGCCGACACCACTGTGGAAAGAGCATGTGACATGTCTCCTGTCAGAAGCCACCTGGGAAAGGGCAAGGGGATGCAGACACCTGCACAGGAACAGGAAAAACGAGTCTGTTGGCAAATGGGAGAGCGCGGGGCACCCTGATGGAATTCCTTTGCTGGCTGCGCTGTATAAACAGCGGCTTAGTCTGCAGTGACCGCGTGAGTTCTAAAAAGCTGACACCGAGAGAAGGGGCATCTGTCACCGACAGATGCTTTGTGCTTTGTGGAGGTGAAGGGTTTAGATGAGATCTCGCCCAGCAGCCGAGCGAGTCAGAGCAGAAAAATGACAACACAGTCTCCCTGGACGTTTAAGAACGACACTGTGTAGAGAGCAATTTGGATCGTGCACTCGAAGAGAACCAGTTTTTAAGATAGTAACAGAACACATCATTCTGGACATTTGTCTCATCATAAACACAGATATAACTGCATACATTTTTTTATTATTCTACCCATAGAGCATTTCTTATAAAACTGAATAGCTTTCAGTCTACACACACTGTGCTTTTAGATAATAACTTTCTATGTGAAGCAAAGGTCTCTACTTAAGATCTTTGGATGACTTGGGACCCGAGTGCTTTTACAGATTAGCTGTGGGTCTTCCGTTCGTCAGTGATCTGCTCAGACCCAGGGGAGAACGCTTTACCGTGCTCACCTCATTCCAGTTTTCCTCTGTAACATAGTCCCGGCTCTGCTAGTCACATCGGCCCTTGGGGGTTGCATTAGCCCTGGTATGGGCTTCTTTCCTGTTGAGCCATTATTATGGGCCAGTTCTGCATGGCTTAGCAGAATGGCTCCCTTTTCTGAAGGCCCCTTCAGTCAGACCCAAAGGGCTGGGCTGTGGGCTGCGCCAGCTCCCGCCAAGGACAGGGGGTCAGCTACCCGGCCACAGGGAGATTTGACTTTCAGATCTTCACTTCTCCCCATGATACGTTTGGCTTGTGGCTGTTTATTGTGTTGCTAGTGCACTTTGCCTAGGTCAAGATACTGCTTCCTGTCTTCAAATTCTTGCCATAGAACTGATTAATTCTTCTGCTTATAATTTTTCTTTCCCTTGGATTAATTGCCATTTCAGAGCTTGCACGAAATCATATACACTGTTGAGGGCTTTGAGTGGAGCGGGGGGCCACTGGTCATTTGAAGATTTTGTCTGCCGTAAGCATGAATCTGCATCTTCCCTACCCGGAGTGCCTGGATTCTCCTGGACAGGGCTTGGTGACTGAGACCAAGGAGCAACAATCGCCAACAAGAGCAACAACAGCAGCTCCAGCTTATCAAGTTGTTAGTATGGGCAGGGGAAGGAGGGTGGACTTCACATGCAGCATCTAATGGAATCCTCAAAAAGGCCGGAGTGTTTAATAGCTGTTTTCTGGATGAGAGAAATCTAGCAAAGAGAAACTAATTAACTTGCTCAGAGTCACACATTTACCCAAGTTGCTGTACAACTAGCTAAGGCTGCATCTAACCTCAGCAGTCAGCACTCCTGGGCAGGACACACAGACTTTTCACCTCAGAGGCAAATTACTCACCAAGGTCACTAAATGCTCATTTCCTTCCTTCTTTCTTTCTTTCTTTCTTTCTTTTTTTTTTTAAAGAAATGTGTTTTCTAGATCTGTTCCAACCCTTCAGTCATTTTGACTTTCTTTTATTCCAGCATTCATCTTCATACTGACAGTCTCCTCTGAGTTTTTCAATTAGTATATGAATTGGGAATATATAGGAATACATACCCATACATGCACCATCCGCATGTATATATAACATTTTACACAGAGCATGTAAATATTGGATTGGCCAAAAAGTCCGTATGGTTTTTTTCTATAAAATAAAAGACACATTTTTCATTTTCACCAATAATTTTATTGATTTGGGTATTTCGAGTATCTTGGCTATCCCCTGCATGGTGTAATGTTGATTGTTCTCAATTAATGTCTCAATTTGATCTGTCAATTTCAACTGGTCTGACTGTGGAGCACCATCCAGTGAAAAATTCCCAGCACAAAACTTCATAAACCACTTCTCATGTGTTTAATCAGCCAAAGCAACTTCTCTATACACTGCACAAATCTTTCATGTGTGTTTTTTTTTACCTTTCTTGAAATAATAAAGCATACTATGCCAAAAATGTTGTGTATTTTCTTCCTTCTTCAATATTAAAATGGCTATCAAAAATTCAGCCATTTTGATAAGTTTGTTTAACACATGCTGATATGACAGCCGTCACAAAACAATCTAATAAAATTGTTTCAAATGAAATTAAAGACAACTAAGTGCTACTAGAGCCACCTTACAAAAAAAAAAAAAAACCAAAGGAAATTTTTAGCCAACCCAATCTAAAATAGATACACATGTCCCTTTTTCTATCCACACAGAAGTATTTCTAGCACTGCTTCTAATTTCAAATTGCACAGCTATGACTTGGGCAAATCTCTTCTATGATAGAGAGCAAGTGCAATCTTTCTTTCCTTGACGTGGCCAGGTGAAATAATCTAGATGAAAGGATGTGGCTTTCACATCCTCACACATACACTGAACATTCATGGTACAATGGTCCCTGAAGGACGAGGGAGGGACTGGAGAAAGAAGGGGAAGGATCCAGTTGGGTTCCAGTTATGGAGAAATAAACAAAACGTGGAGTAACTGCTCTGCAAGACCCTTAAGATAAAGCATGAGAAAGACACGGTCTGGCTCCTGGAGTTTCAAGCCATTTGCTGTACTTCAATTGCATCTTTCCTTCCAGATTCTACTGGGAAAAGGAAAGAAGAACAGAAACTAATATGTGAGGGTTCTTCAAAACACAAAAATGTCCCTTAATCTTCCACAATGGGAGTGGCTCTTAGGGTTGAGGACACTGGCTAGTGAAAAGACTTTCTGGTACCATCTAGATGGAGACGTGGCTTGCCCTTCAATGTGGGTCACTATATGTGACAGGACTCTGCTGGGCGTGTCACATGCTCCAAGATGGGTCCTGGGGGGTGGTGAGTACAGGCCTTGTATGGAGGGAGTCTCTTTTTGGCTACTCCCTCCTTTGCTACTCCCTTTGTTTTTGGCTACTCCTTTTCTTTTTTTTTTTTTAGGCCTTTCTATGCTTAATCACGTTTAAAACACAAACAGTAGACAATGAAACCTACCAGCTCACTGAAAGAGAAATATTTTGTCCCAAACATCCATCTCAACATGGAAAATATAGGCAAAAAGTAAAAAAAAAAAAAAAAAAAAAAAAAAGACTTAAACAATTGAGCCCACTGGGTTACATTAACATTAATTTTTAGAACAGCTGCTAGACAACGCGGGTTAATTTAAAGAGAAGTCAGAAAATACATGCAGCTAAGGCATTCCCTTCTGAGGTCATGGCACAAAGGGTGGGTTCTATGTCCCATGAAGCTTCTAGAACTAAAAACTAACAGGTATGCAGTTTACCATACTCAAGCCACAAGTGGTCCCCTCTGCTGCAGGCATAAACTTGGTCTCACACCTGTGGCCCACTCGATGGCACCAAAGCGACTTGCAAATGTCCTGAAAGGAAAGAAGGAACTGGTAAGGATAATGGTACAATAAAAACAAAAGTACCAAAGGCTCTTGTATACATAATACATTTTGAGGTGGCCAAAAGCAGACAGTATCCAGAAAGTAGTGCCATGTGAAGGCGGTAATAGCCAGGTAACCAGTAGCATGTTCTAACCAAGGAAGTTCCTACACTACCCACATAGTCATGTATGTTTAGGAATGACTGGGAGGTAACAAGAGTTAATTTAGAGATCACTGGGCTTGACACTAAGAGATCTGGTTTCTAATAACGAAAACAACAATACAGCAACCAGTGAAGGAGAATAGGCCAAGACTGAAATAAACCTGATTCAAATCCTTGTCCTGGAATTCCGGTTGCATGCCCTGTGGACAAGTTATAGAAGCCTTTTAAGCAGAGTTTATTCCTCTGTGGAATAGTGATCAAATTAGCGCTGGCCTCTACAGGCTTGTTCTCAAGGATAAATGATGTAAATAATCACTGTCATTACCTTCTTTACCTTTACATTAATTTTCAAGACTGAGACAATTTAATTCTCACACTGGACCTATGAGATAAACTCCCACACTAGACTGCGTCAGGCAGAATAATGCCCCCCTTCACCTCCTGGACCGCGTCCTCTTAATCCCACGAAACCAAATATGTGAGGTTATATAGCGAAGAAGAATTAACATTACAGACAGAATTAAGGTTGCTAATCAGTTCACTTTGAGATGGGGATGCTATCTTGAATTTTCCAGAAGGGCTCAAGGTAATCACAAGGGTCCTTAAGGGGAGACGTGGGAGACATAAGGGGACAGGGGAGAAGATGGTGTGAGGGAGACTTGGGGATGTTGCTGCCTTTGAAGACGGAGAAAGAGGCCATGAACCAAGGGATTCAGGAGGCCTCTAGAAGCTCCGGAAGACAAGGAAATGGCTCCCTTCCAGAGGCTCCAGAAGGAACACAGGCCTGCCAACACCCGATCGGAGCCCACTGAGACTCGCACCACGTCAGATGTCTGCCTTCAGATGTATAAAAAAATAAGTGTGTGTGGTTTTAACTCAAGATCGTGAAAATTTATCACAGCAGCCATTGGAAACTAACACTTACTGGTACCATTTCGTGGTGGACACTAAACCAATTCCTCATAAAAACTCACTGGGATGGGACACTGAGGAAGCGACGGACACATTCAATGCAGTGAGGTCGCACAGCTGGGAGGTGGCAAAGTCGGGACTCAAGTGGCCTGGTGTCAGAGTGCAGATCCTTGGCCGCAGCTTTGGACCTCGGTTTGTCATCAACAGATAGTAGAAAGCACTCAGCTTCTCCGGCCTCAGTTGCCGATCTACAAGCCAGGGCACTGATCCAGATTCCTGCTAGCTCAAACAGTTGAAGCTGCTCTTCAGAATGAGGTTGCTACCAGAATATCAGAAATCATGAAGTGTCAAAGTGACTCTATTTTATTTGCTATATTCTATTTACTATGGTAGAAGTGGGAACACACACATTTTGGGATAAATATTAACAACCAAGGAGGAAACAAAATGATTTTTGTGGTCGCTTATTGTAACCCTGCAAATTCAATTGACGAAGCACCCAATTCCCCAAGCATTTCAGCTAATATAGATGTCATGGTTAGAAAGTATGGCAAGAACATGTTTAGAAGTATTTCACAAAAATGTTTTCCACAGGACTGAGAAAAGAAAATACAGGGAAACCAGAGACAGGTGCAGTGAGTCTGCTCTTGTAGACCGTAAAATCCTGGCGCCCACCTCGAGGAAACTGGAAGCATATTCAGGACACGGCTTGCACCCTGCGTACCATTTCCAAATGTCCAAAGAGCGCAGAGGACCCAGTATATAAATGTTTCCCTTGGAAATGGACCTGCCACTGACATCAGAGACAAGCATAAGGCAGCCTCGAACACCGCGCCTCGGGTTCCTCGTGTCTGTGTGCCGCCCTACTGTGCCACCCTGGGTCCGAGGGGGGCAAGTTCATCTGGGAAAAGAACAGTCTGCATCAACACGGAAGAATGGGATGTAACCACTGAAACAATGAAAGCCACAGTGAGAAAGGCTTTCAGAACTAAACTGTTTTCCCGCCAGAAGAAAGCCGTAACGCACACCCCACACTCATCGCCTATGTGGCAGCCACCAAGGCGACCCCGGGGCAGATGGAGCAGAGAGGCCCCAGATCCACAGTGGATGCCAAGCCACAGGCTAAGGGGAAGGGGCAGCTGGGGAAGACCAGGAAAATAAAGCAAAACACAAAAACACAGGGAATGCAGAGCGAAATAAGGCAGGCTGTACAAACATGTTATTTCTTTTGTGGTGAAGCACAGAAGTCAAACGTAATTATAGCCAACTACATGCTCCCTTTCAAAGTAGGCAGAAATGAGAGTTTGCACTTTTTTGCTGGTTCTTCCCTCTTTTTTCCAGCACATTTGACTAACTTTTCCTTATCTATAATTCCCTAGACTTAAGTCATAATTTAATGGAAAAAGAAAGACCCACAGACACTTCAGGGTCTCCTGTTGCCTGAATGTGATTTTTGAGAAAAAAAGTCTCAATGCCATACATTATTCTGTCCTGTCACTCCTTGGCCATGTTCTCCAGTTGTATTCCAAAGGACAGATGTCCCTTCAAGTAAAATCTGACATACTAAAAATGTTAATGGTCCTTACAAATCAAATTTTATAAAGCAGCTCAAACTTAACACATCCAAACAAAATTCCCCGTCTGCTGCTCACCCCCCTTCCCCAAACCTCTTCCATGGTCAGCCTTCCCAGCTCTCGTTAAGACTCCTCCATATGCTGGAAGCTCAGTCAATAAACCCCTGACTCATCTTTGACTCCTCTCTTTCTCTCCGATAAGTCACTCCTGTTTCCTTGAGGACAGACGAGAAGGGGACAGAGGCAAAATCCTCCACTTCCTGAAAATCAGAGCGCTAAAAAACGTTTTCTTCAGCTATCACTGAAAACCCAATAAATAACTACGGAGTATTTGCTATTCTGTCAGGCGCATGGTAGGCACAGCAGATATTCTCCACGTACTGGGGCAAGAGGTCTTCATGGGCGATTGTAATACAGTGTCACAAGGTTTTGATGGTGACATACAGGGTGCAGATGGAGCCCAGAGAAATGAAGGGTTAGGGTTCCTTGCGGGTCAGAGGAAGAGGTAACACTTGAGCTGGATCATCAATGACACTAAAAGATGGACGACCAGGCAGCTTTTTAGATGAAGGGCACATCTGCAAAGGCTTGTAGGTAGGAAACCAGGCCAGTGGTGTAGTTGGAACACAAGTCTTTGGGGAAGTTATAGCAGTTGAAATGCGATGTCATAAATTTAGTAGATTGCAAAGTAGGTGTGATTTAGATACTAGGAACTTACTCTTTTGTTAAAAAAAAACAAATCTTCACTCAAGGACATTTTTTCATTACTTTTAGAGACAGAGTAAGGGAGGGGAAGGGAGAGAAACATTGATGCAAGAGAGAAACAGGGATGTGAGGGAAAAGCATTGATTGATTGCCTCCCCTATGCACCCAGACCAGAGAACCAAACCCATATCCTAGGTCTGTGCCCCGACCTGGAATTGAACCCACAACCTTTCAGCCATGGGACAATGCTCCAGCCAACGGAGCCACACTGGCCAGGGCTCAGAAGTTACTCTTTATTCTCCATTCTTCGATGCCAATGTCCAATTCTTGAAAGAAGAAATACATGCCCATCCTGTTATATTCGTTATGCCTTTCCCTTCGAAGAGAATGCTCTCTAAGGTGATGGCCCTGAAAATATTCAGGAGAATTCAAATACCTTCCCCATAATTCCCATTCCACTTCAAACCCCCTTGGTGTAGCTATGAATGAACGTTTCCTGAGCTCCTGCTATGTGACAGCAACTGTGCTGGTTACCGAGGTACAGAGGACAGGCCGCCCATTTCTAACGCAGTAAAATACCCGGCACGGAAGCATGGATCAGCCTTTTACAGAGCGTGGGGCATTCCGGCAAAAAGCACTGATTCACTCACCGAGTCTGTATGCATTTAGTAAGTACATAATAATCAAACGCAAGTTCTCCCTCCTTTACATAGCTTCTAAAAATGTGCAGCCATCAGCCACATTAACTCATTTTCTCGAACACTTTGAAAGGAAACAGATATCCAGCTTGACATGCTGAAGAGACAAAATTTGAGGCCGGGAGAGGAGGAAAGACAGGACAGGTGATAACAATAGCCAGCCCCAGACCCTCTGACAAGGAAGCCACTGTGAGAGGACAGCCAGGCGTGATAGCGGTGATGCTACTGGAGATTCGAGGAGGAGGGCAAGTAGAAAACCCTATTATTTATTGAGTGGTGAAACTATACCAAAAGATTAATCCTCACAATGACCGGGGGGAATTATTAGGCTCACCTTACACATGTGAACATGAAAGCTGAGAGTAGTGAAGTCATTTGCCCAGAGTTTTAGGAAGTGGAATAAGATTTTAAACTCGGGTGTGTCCAATTTGGAAAGCGCGCGCGTGCGTGCGTGTAAAATTTAAGGCTGTCTAATGCAGCAGGCCCCCACCCTGAGCACGCGTCAGAATCACCTGGAGCCCATGTTCGATCATAGACTGGCAGGCCCCACACCCAAAGGTTCTTCCTCTCTAGACCTGGGAGGAGACCCTAGCATTTGCGCTTCTACCACGTCCTAGGGGATGCTGATACACTGCTCCTGCTGGTTTGAGAGGACACTTAGTTAGATGGAGAGCAGGGTGACAGCTAGTGGGGGACGGGGAGGGGAGGGGTGGAGGGATTGGGGAAGAAAAGGAAACAAGACTCACGGACATGCACAACAGTGCGGTGATTGCTGGGGGGACTAAATGGTAATGGAAAAAATACAATAGAGATTAAATCAATTTTAAAAAATGATCTCTTATTTTTTCCTTTTCTGTTGCTTTTAAACACCATGCAAAACTGCCTTTCTAGGAGGTATAGAGAAGAAAAACAGGCAGCAAGGAGAAAAGGTCAGAAAGTGAGCATAATGACAGAACAATGAAGCTCCTCAACGGAAACCGCATGCTCTTCTTGTGTTGCTGGAGCTGGTCTAACCTACTGAGACCAACAGGATGAACAGGAGGTTCTGTTGTTCTGAAAACCCCTCCTACTTAGGGCCTGGCAGGGACCTATTTATGATCCCCGGAGATGAAGTCATGTTCAAGTTATAGGTAGGCTTGGGAATAATACCAAAAGGCCATCAATGGCGGATGGAATATTCTGCATTCAGCATCTATACCTGCCAACCCTACCTTCTCTACCTGATCTCATAGTCACCTGCAACGGTCTCTCCCAATCAGGTCTTCCCACCCCGCCAGGCTTTCCTATCTCTGTGCCTTTCCTTATCATCTTTTTTTAAATACTGAAAGATAAATTTATTGATGGGTTTTAGAGAGAAGGGAAGGAAGGAGGAAAAGAGAGACAGAGACAGAGACATTGATCAGTTTGCGCCCCTCCTGGGATCAAACCCACAACCTAGGTATGTGGCTGGCCGAGGACTGAACCTGCAGCTTTTCCGTGTGTGCTCCAACCAACCAAGCCACCCAGTCTGCCTAATAAAATAAGGGCATGTGCCTTTCCTTATTTTATTCAATATTTTAGTCTGGAATTTCCATTTCCCTTTGCTCCGGTTCCCAGGGACGACCGTAACACTGAGATTCTTTCAAAATATGGTGTTTTTAGAAAAAAGAGCTATATTTGAAGAATGCTTGTTTAAGCCCTGCATACTGTCTGACACAGAACAGGCACCCCACAAATGTTTGTTGAATGTGTGATCCTGAAGGAATGATAGTTAATCTAGAAACTTTCTTTATATTTCTAAAGAAAATCAACCTCATTACCAACTGTGCATTTACTGCATAGTAAGTGCTTTATAAATATTTGATTAATGAATAAGCTAGTGAATCTTTTAAGAATGAAGTAACCAGGACACAAATTTAGCAACCATTTTCAACAGAGAATGGCTATTAAATTCTGTCTAATGCATCAACTTAATATGCAATCTGAAATTGTTATATGTTTATTAATTTATACATACCATATAGGCCCATGTACCATGGAGAACCCGGCAAAAGGTGTATGTGTAAACTTTTCTAATAGTTATGCATTTAAATTGTATTAGAAAAGATATGTAATCCCATATCAAACTTGTGATTTAAGGGTTACTATTTCCTGGGACTCAACTTATATTTTTTAAGTGAGTTGTTTTATAGAAAAGCAACAAGGGAATCATTAAAAAAAAGATACAACATAACTAATGAAGGTCACTGTTAATGACCGAATGTTAATCTTAATGATTGAAGTTTAGGAAACGCTGGTATTAACTAATGGAGGGAAGGAAGGAAGCTTAACATCAGTGTGGATGATGCCTTTGGGTTAGGTTCCACCATTTAAGTCTTGTGACTTTGGGGAAATTAACTACCTTCTCTGAGCTCCAGGTAAAAAGTGGTGATAAGTCTCACTTCAAAGGTTTTTGTGGAGACTGAAGAAAAAGAAAAGAAGTCTCAGTAGACTGCTTTACGGGGAGCAGAGACTCAGCAACTGCTGAAGGAGACGGTGGTACATGGTAGGAAGTGGCGGTAATGCCGGGGGGCGGTGCCGCTGCTGTGGGCAATGGCGGTGGTGCTGCTCGGGGTGGGCGGGGCGGGTGGAGAAGGAGGAAGAGGCAGAAGAAGACGGGAGTAGAAATAGGAATAGTAGGAACAGGAGGAAAAGGAGCTGTAAAACTCTCTAACTCCCCTGCATCCAGACTTCGGATTTCCATGTTTCTCTTTGGGTACTAGGAATAAACCAATTTAAAATGGAATCTCCTTTTCAGTGAGGTTGATATTGTCAGTGATGTAGTTTTTGACCAACTGGAAGGGTTTCTCCCATTTCTACTTCCTCGGCTTTTGCTTTTTCCCATGTATCTTTCTCGCAGCATTGTTTGAAAGACTTGACAAATATCTTAAGATTGCTCAAGATACACCTTGAATTTGTACGTATCAAAAAACGTTGGCTGCCATAAAGTATTTTTGTATCATGCAAAAGGCACTTGTATGTATTTTGGGTGGTGATATTTCAAACATATCACTTTAAAAGAGAACATGAACACAATGATACCAAAAACAGAGATGAGCAGTAGGTAAAAGCTATTGAACCCAGATTTACTACTTGTGATAAAAATCTTCTTCTACAGCAGAGGAATGTTCTTTCAAGGATGCACGTCAGATGTATTAAAACCAGGCACGGTCTATGGGGGATAAGACTGGATAATTCATTGATGGTAAAATTGCTACTTAATTATCATGCCAAACAACTGACATTTTTGAGATAACCCAGACTCTAACCCTTGGCCTTAGCAAACTAAATGTTTATACTTCAGTTAGGTATACAGACACATTGCAGGATCTTAATGTAAGTTTCAAATCACAAGCAAACATACCTTCACAAAACCAAGGCTGCATAACTTGGCTTTTGCTCCAAATTGCCACTTGCACTGTGTGTCAGCATCATAAATCTGTCCTGGTAGTTTGTCTGGATATTTATACTGTCCTGTTTGCTTGGGCTCATCCACCAGACACCCAGCCTGAGGTGTGCTGCAGGGATAACACATCCATATTAATTATCTTGCTTATCTGCAATCCACTTCTTAAAGTGATATACCTCTAAATGCATTCATGTAAAGAAAAACATGACATGGCTAGAGAAATAGGTGCATGCTTAAAGTTTAAATGTGTATTCATTCCAAATAGTTGAGTTTTGTCCTGTCTAAGAAGATGAAATGTATACATCCATAGAGGGTTTCACATGGTACTGAAGCTATAGCCCTCCGAGTGACCTGGCTCGGCCTGCTGAGAGACGTGAAAGATCAATGTATTTGAAAATTTTCCCCTATAGCCTTGTTCAACAATAGCCAACAAGTTTTTTTACTGAGTATCTCCTCTGTAGACAGCATTATGCTAACACACTAAAGGTATGGAGTGAACCAGAGAGGGTGAGAGTACCTGTCTTCATGGAGTTGAAAGTCACGCTATAGTTTTTTGGGTTTCTTTTCTTTTTACAGATAATGGGTTAGTAGTCAAACATATACTTTACCTCAAATGACTTCTACAAGCTAAAAAATGAATAAGGTTTTTGAAAGAAGTCAGGAGAAAAACCACATGTGGGCATAAGGCAGAGCAATTTCCCTGAGGCATGTTTAACTGGGACATGCTGAGGAAAAAAGTCAATCTTGATGGCAGGGATATTCCCAAAAAGCACCCTACCTCCATTGACATAATTAAACTATGATATCAATGAAAGGTTAAAAACAGCATGGTGGTGAAGTGTGACTTTGGAGTCAGACAGATGGGGGTCCTAATCAACCATATGACTTGTACATCTCATTTCTGACAATAACTCCCATAAAAGTTGTTACACAGATAAACCAGAAAAAGGAAAGCACTTAACACAGCATGGTAAGCATCCTAAGTTAGCCGCTACTGCTGTTAGTATTATCATCCAAAAGCATTTAACTATATCATAGAAATGATGGAAGTTCAACCCACATGGTGGGTCAAAAAGTAGGTTTCCAGTTGTGAGGCTGTGAAACAGAATTTATTTTTGTATTATCACATATTAATTACTGCATTATTTCCCATATGAACTGGAAACCTACTTTTGCCCTACTCTGCATATTAAGTTGATCTGGATTTATAATATTTATTCTCACATAGATAGAAAAGATAATTTGAGGCCCCAAATCATAGATTTAAAACTAAAAAGAAAATCTATGTGACAAAGCTTATTATTAGCAAAAGGTTTGTTAATTTTTCATTATCTTTTGGGATACTGTTTGTCAGGCATCTCAACATTTGATCAGCTTTGCCTGTGCTGTGTATATTGCTAATTCTGTAAGCATTTTTAAATAATATGCAGTGGTACAGGTTAACAAATATGTACAGTAGTCCCCCTCTTTTCTGCGAGAGACATGTTCCAAGACCCACCCAGCGGATGCTTGAAACTGTGGATAATACTGGACCCTATATATGTGTACTATGTTTTCTCCTAAACATACATACATTTTACAAATTAGACACAGTAAGAAACTAACAACAATAAGTAGTAATAAAATAGAACAATTTTTATCTAGCGATCTCTGGAGGTCATAAAGGAGAAAGAGTGGTAAGCACAAATCTCGAGGTCATAGCAGACCTAAGTGCAAGTCTTATGCCTGCAACTTACCAGCTGCAGGGCCTTAAGCAACACAATCATCCTCACAAGAATTCATTTCCTCAACTCTAGAATGAGGAAATAATAAGGCTGCTTGTGAGGACTGAATGAGGCATCATGTGGTGAGCATGCAGCACAATCTGTTTTTTCAACAATGGCAATATCAGCATCCCCGTCATCATTACTGGAATTTGTCAGCCTTTCTGTTCATTGGGAGGTGAAAAGATACTTCCACTGCATATTTGTTTTCACACCTATTGAGCCCTATTGGTTGGCTCTGCTCCAAACCTGGGAGCAGCCCTGGCTTTGGCCTGCTTACCTAAGGAATTTCTTGAGATACTGCCGGCTGCATGAGGACCAGGAGAACACGCCGTTGTTTCCAGTCAGTGTGGGAGACATGATGTTGCCCTCGGCCTTCCGGCAGGGGTTGCCTTCTCCATCGTGAATCATGCCAAAGCTGAAGCACAGCAACAACAATGACAACAAAGCCTCTGTGAACACCCCGTCTCCCGATTCGAACCAGAGGAAGAAAACGATGCACTGAGAATCGGTCAACCCAAGTGGGAGGCAGAGTCATCACAGTCGAAAGGAAAGGGAAAGACAAAAATGAACTACTACATAAAGTGTTGTGAAATTTGTGGAGAGATTTTAGCATGCTGAGTCCTTTGTTAGAGTATGTCTTGGCCAGAAAAATCAAAGAATGGTATATCTGCTAAGTATTTTAAGAAAGAAAATTTTGGTAAAGATTTTTAAGCTACACTGAAGTGATGAGAAAGTGAAATTCTTTTATTTCAAATAGTGACATTTCTTCCTCGCCACCAACTGTGGAACTGCATTTAAGGAAGCTCAGAGTGAGGAGGAGGTGGGTACAGAGGGAAGCTGATTGGGAGTTGCTTATAGACAGTTTGTTCATAAAGCAAGTGTGACATATATTCTTCTAATGATGATCTATTTATTAGCTGAAATCACAAACTCTATCATAATTAAACTCCCTTAAATCACAAACATCTTTAAAAATTAGTGGTTGAACATATCTAGGGAAGGCATATAAAGGACTTCTTTTTAGTGCATTTTATGAAAAAACTCTGATAAGCCCAATTTTACCACAGAAGGTTCTAGCAAGTACAGTGTATTAATAACTTTTTAGGTGGTTTACTCCCTAGGAATCATGTACATCACACCTAAATTGTTCCCAAATCTCCTGACTGGTAAACTAAATAGGACAATAATGTATGTACCCGTATGTGATACACACACCATAAAGACAGCTAACTTCAGGCCGTATTAAAGTTGTGAGGAGAATAACTGTTTTCCGTCATCTCTAAAAAATTTGCTCCACAAAAAGGCTTTTTGTGGTTCTTCTAGGGAGGCAGGGGATAGACAGATTATCAATTTTATCATTAATTTGGATTGTTCTTAACCTAATTATTTGAAGGAGCATAATTTGCCTCTGAAGAATATATCTTTCTGGGGCAGATATTATTCCTGTGGAAAGAAACATGTTGTTCTGACATAATCTTATCAATATAGCTATCCTTTGAAGGTAGCCTCTACCACATAATATAATATAGTGGAAATTAGTAATTATGTTATAAGCATAGATAGGATTCTGTTGTGACTCATGTCTAAAAGTAGCCGTTTTCTAGCATTTCCTCTCAATTCATCAGGCAGGCAGTATCAGATGGCTGTGTGTCATGACTGTATCAGTGAATGCCCCACCAAGTTAGAGGTGACAGATTCATAGGTAAGTATCTATTAAATTCAACATATACTCAGGGAAAGCATTTTCTCCTCCTCAGCTTTGCCCAACTCAGTTCTTCTTTATATCAAACCAGGAAACTATGGGGATTAGTCTGGAAGACACCCCTTCTAAATATTGGTGAAAGTCAAAAACAGAAGAAAATTTCTATTTGAAGTACCAGAAGAAAGAGTAAGAATCAGAGGAAATTATAATTAAATTAGCATTTCACTGGAGTTTTATGGACATGATAAAAACCAAGTTTAAACTGAATTTTGAACTTAATAATGTTAAAATTTCTCAGTTATTTTGATTTAACAGAATTTTAGAAAATATACATTTTCTTTAGCATATGTCAAAAGTCATATCAAACTCTTATGAAATGACTGTTTCAAAATTTACCTCTATATGGCTATGTTACTTAGAATGTGAGTATGTATATTTTATTTTTCTATCTGTTTTTTCTTCTAATTCTGACCATTCTCTCCTCACTGCATCTGGGGAATGCTTCTGCTTTTCCTTACTCAAATGCTGGATTTTGATTTTGGTAATTTTAACTCATAATCAAGGATGACTACATTTTTTAAGGGCCAGTAACCTGAAAAGTGAGACATCTGTTCATCTGAAACAAATGTACACATACATTTGACATTCGTAGATCATTTTATTTCCTGCTCTGTACAAAGGGTCTTGGGCTTAATGGGTGTTGTGTCACCACCATTCACAGGAAAACTGGTTCATTCTCCTCTTTCTAAGAAAGCAGTTTGCATCGACATACAATTCTGGGATACTGTTAGCTAGCAGTAAAGGTCAAGATTCAAATTTCCTAGAGATAATAAATTTTGCTCATGAGACCCTAACACCAAAACATCAAATACAGATTATAGTTGTGGAATAGATGACATCTGCTTTTATTTTTAAGTCAGAAATTAATTGGATGCTCTGAAAACGAGCATTCAATATAAATGCTGAATACAAGGCACATGCAGAGACAATCCTAAGCTCATACATCCGGAGAGCTTGCCCTTGAACTAGTCACTTTGCAAAGCAGTATGCTTATACCAACTTAGATGTTGTTGCTCAAATAATGTTTGAAAATTCACCGTAGAACTGTGTCCACTCCACATTATATGCCTCGTAAAATAAATTCATTTCATTTCTCTTACGTTTCTGATACCTCATTTCTAAATATATTTCCACAAAAGAAAGATTTAGTGATAGCAGTTTAAAAAATATTAAGTGCATGCAATGATGCCAACTAAAAGAATATCTAGAATATGCATCAAGAGTTTTTAAACAATTAGCATGCCATTACATTCTGTGAATTTACATGTCTCCATGGTTATTGCCTTAGTATAATAAACCAAAAGTATCTTCAGCAACACATAGAAGAAAATAAACAAATATCTAAGTGACTAGAGGGTCCATTAGGTAACCTGCAGTCCATGTATGCACAACGTAATACTGTGTGGTTACTAAATGTTTTTTAAAAAGAGCAACGGCAACAATGACCTTTACGGAGCCCTTCTTGTAGTCAGGCGCTATTCTAAGCATTACACAACATTTACCCTAATTATCCTACTTAGACCAATAATAATCATTAGAGAAATGCCAATGAATCGCCCAACCAGATTTCCTGTAAAGTCACTTACTTGTGCCCAGACTCATGAGCGATGGTGAAGGCCAGGCCGAGCCCCGTGTCCTCGTTGATGGTGCAGCTTCGGTACTTGCTGCACATTCCACTGATGGGGGCAAATCCTGTTGAAGTATCAGTTTCAAATGACGGTCCAAAGGGAACACACACAGATACCTCATCATTTCTTATGTCCTCAAAATGTCCTGTACAGTTTTAGTTTAATGGATTCATGGATTTTTTTGGGGGGGGGGGGGGGGTGGAGGAAAACTCTCCTATCCAAATAGATAAATGCAGTATTTGCTATTTTCTTTTAACTTAAGATATTGTCATCAATTGAGCCTCCTAACAACCCTGTGGAGTTGGTCTGAATATTATAATTCTCATTTTACATATAGAATAGTGAGTCACAGAATATTTACATGCCTTATCTAAGTTTATTATTTGGGTCAGAGCAGCTGCTGAAATGAGAGCTAAACCAATGCAAAATGTTCACTTAGCAGGAGTATTACCATCAAGGCTCAAGAAAACACACATTCTGGTCTCCTTCTAAAGAATATAACATGATAATGCCTAAAGGATGTGAACGGATTGAATTCATTTTTCTCCTGCTCACTATAATGTGATAAATATTCCTGTTTCCAAAAGCTGCTTCCTTCTAAGAGCAGTTATAAAGTCAGTCCTTGATTGTATCTTGAAGGACATGATAGTGGTAAAGGTCTTTCCTCCCCATTTTGAGTCCTCATAACCAGTCAGTGTTAAACACACACTTGTGAACTGGCTGCAACCACCTTGCAGTCATGATGTTAGGTCACCTGGGAACATAACGCAAGGGCACGTATTGTGGGCGACCCCATCACCCCCTCCACCATCACCGTCAGTACTGACCTAACCATTCATTCCTTAAAATACTTGTTGAATTCCTACTATGTGCAGCTCAATACACAAGAAAATATAGTAGAGAGGTAAAAGGTGTAGTGCTTACTCAATGTCTTGCACAAATATAGAAGACCTGAGTCCTCCAAAAGTCAAGTAACTTTCTAACGGAGACACTGCTACCAAGGAGCACAGTTGAATACCACGGAGACTAATCCAATTCTCTTCGGCTACCCAGTTCTGCAGTTGTGATGCTTATGGAATAAACCACAGCTTGTCTGATGAAATAACTTGTCTTATGCCTCAATGAGCATCAATAGAGTTAATAAAGAAAAATATAAAGAGAAACTCCATGCTGACTTCAGTTAAATAGAACAATATCGATTAGAGGGTCCAATGAGGATACTCCACAATTTAAAACATTAGGTCTCCTTATTAATGATCATTTAAGGGCCACCCGCCCAATAGAAATATTCCATAACGGATTTTCAGCTAACAGGGACGTGTCCAAAGCATCCGTTCATACCATACCTAGAGTGTCACATGGCTCATTCTTCCAGGAACAAATATCGAATCCTGTGAGTAAGATGGCGTGGTCGTGCCTCTTGCCATTCTTTCCAGTGAGGGCAGACTGCCACTGACAAAAGCTATTCAGAGACTGGTCTGCGTGATGGTTGATCGATAATCCTCCCTAGGGGAAACCCACACAGATCAGAATGTGAACGGATCACAGAAATGGAAATGTTGAATCATCCCATTTCTATAGGCAAACACAGAAACAGCATGTTTCTTAGGATGAGGGAAAAAAAATGAACTAAGGCTGATGACAATTGGTTAAACAAACAAACAAACAAACAAAAAACCCCAACTAAAAACTATTTGGGGTAAATGCTCATGATATTTAAAGTAACTACAGAGTTTCAGTAGTGTAATTCATGACCAATAATATTTTTATAACAAATAACTTGACTGGTTAGGAAAATCTTTGTTCATCTCTGCCTAGTAACACCTTTACAAAAGCACTGTAACTTTTAGAACATAATTATAAATTAATGGTAATAAAGTTCAATGCCTCCTCCATAGAGCATAAGAAAGGGAATGAGTACAGCTTAGTTATCCTTATCTCAAAATTTCCAGTAAAGGGCTTGGTATGTCATAGGTTATAATCAATCAATCAACCAACCAACCAACCAACCAACCAATCAAATGAAAGCTCACTGAATGAAGAAACAAATTACTATGAGATTCTAAAGGAAAAGGTAGAACCTACCCTTAAGATAATTATTTGTCAAAACGTTTGCTTAAAATTATTGACTTGGGTCAAGTTGGGGGTTGTTAGAGAAGCGCTCCAGCTATGAGTGAATTAGGCTGCTGCTGGCTTCAATGTCCTAGAGCGAAGTATAAGCAGGAGGTTAAAGACAAAAGTGCCTGCCAAACAGCACGCACCCTTTCTACCTTTCTAAAATCCCAAGAATCATTTGACAAATTGTTAACCTCTGTAGCTCTACACACCTGGGCAGTAAGATTAATTTTTGTCTTGTCTCTGACTCCCTGCTCAATACATTCATTATCAGGGCTATAGATAAACATAAAAAGCCACAGGGGACTTGAAAAATAGTCTGTGAATTGGTAATCCCCACCTCAGAAAAATACAGTTTTAACATCAAAACACTACAAAGCAGTGAAGTGCCGTGAAATTTAATACTTTATTATATGTTCTGATTTTATAATTCACCCCATGCCTTTGTCTTGCACCTCACTCTAGTCAGTTCAGGGGCAGTTCAATATTCCTTGTTTGTTTGTTCTCTGTAGTACCCAGGAGGATGCTGAGGGCACAGTAGGTTTACTACAAGAATTTTCTGATGACATTTTTCAGAATATTTTTAAAATGTCCTTTTGCATATACCTGCTATTACCCAGCATATCTAACTTGCAAAATCCAATTAACTCTTCCATTTATTACCAAATGCCCCTTCCTTATGAAGCCTACATAATATGTATATTGTTATATATAATATAAGATTTATATTTTACAGTTGTATTGATATTATACATGCATATTCATCTTTTATGTGTCACTGTATATATAGATGCATATGTTATATACATTTATATATGAATAATTATTTTGTGATGTCCTAGTTATTTGAATACACAGCCCTATTAGATTGTACTCTCCTTGAGGGTAGGGTCAGCATATTTTCAAATTTGAATTTCTAATGACCAGTAAGTACAGGACTGGCACTTAGTAGGTGTTTAATAAGTGTATCCAGGATTAAGAAATAAATGAAGTTTGCCACTTACAGGTTCTTGTTCCAGAAGAATGAGGCTCACCACCACAATGTTTATATCGCTTCCAATGGTCCCATCTTTAAACAGGCTGGAAACCTGTTGGGACAATTGAAGTCAGAAATAAAATGAACAAATGTGAAAGTTGCCAAAACTGAGGAGGGGGCAAAACCAATGAAAAATATGGATATGTATAAAGGCTCTAACTGGACCAAATACATGTACAATGAAGCCAATTTCCTCAAAACTCCATTTTTTTCCCCAATAAAATTGCATGGCTACATCTGCTATTCAGCCCACACAAGGGACTCCTCTGCTCTCTAGCTGTTTGGAGAGCCAGGAGGGTTGGGGTCCGGACAGCCTCCCTTACCATGTTCATGACCGTGAGGATATATGTGGTGACATTGGCCTTGCCATGCTTGTCCACCATTTTCTTGTCTGCCACCACTAGGGTTTCCACATTTAGACCCTTTTGTGATTTTCCAGCTGATCTTCTGGGCCGCCCTGTGCTCCCGTATTCATCAAACCTGAGATAGGTGTCCTCGGTGGGAGGCTTGGGGGCATCTGCAATGAACAGCAGAGCATTTGGACAGGATATCAGTCCCAAATATGTGGGTGAGATATAAATCTAAACAAGGGGAGGAGAAGGACTAGAGAAGCGACTCTCCATCAGTCTACTGATAAGTGATGCCATCGGTGCCTGTCCCGGGCCTCTGCACCTCATTGGTGGTCGAGAAAGATTCATCCAATAGAGATTTGGATGGATGAATGCATGGGTGGGTGGGTGCGTAGATGCCTGTATGAGGTGAATGCTTGGGTGGGTGGGTGGATGGAGGGATTAACTCAAAAATGCTCTAATGAGTAAGAAGAGCTGTAATTCAAGTGGTCAAGAAAAATCAATTTAATGAGAATAGTTTTCAAAAATTTTTTTAAATGCTCATTTTATTTTATTACTAAAAAAAAAAAAAACCCTGCAGAGATAGAAATCATTCTTTGCATCTGAACTTATAATGACACTTTATATCTTCCTTCCTAAATAAAATTTAGAAATATATATCCTGTAGAACCCTGGCCATGTCTTGTACTCTTGTTTCAACACCAACTTTCACGTGGCACAAAATAAATGGTCAATCAGATCTTTGGCCTGATATTGACTTAGTTATTGGGGAAAGGGCATTATCCAGTTGATAATTAAAAGTATAAATACTTTGTGACAGGTAAGATGCGGGCACCACCTCAACAGCATAGATACCAGCCACGGCTTGTGGGCAGAGCCCTGGACGTGCCTGTTGGACCAAGGTATGGTCTCCTTAGTGAGTGGACTGTGACAAGTCCAAGGGTGGCTGGGAAGGAAAAGGGCATTTGGAGAGCTCAGGACAGTGTCCATGTAAAGTAATGTAGAATTATTTTGGTACTTTAACAACTGGCACAGTTATTATAGCGATGTCTACTCCCTATAGAGTGAAATTAAAAGAGCAGACCATTTAGAGGTAGATTTAAATCCTCAGGTTGGCAACATTGATAAAAGACCTTGAGTTTAGCTTTCATATCTCATTGCCACTGTGAATATTATTACAATTACAGTAATACAACTATTACTATAGACCTGTGCCAAATAGATGTCACTAAAAGAGGATATTTCAGTATCACTGCCAATGCAAAAACTAATTTAAATGGTATAAACACCGTCTTTCCTTATTGTTCCCAATCGAAATCTCAGTGACAGAGGTTCCCCTCCTCCAGGGGGCAGGCTGGGGTGGGGGGAACATCACTTGGTTGCCTGTCCAACTCACTTGCCGCTCATGGCTACTGAGCCTTTGGAATGTGGTTGGTGATAACGGAGAAAGTTAATTTTAAATTTAATTTTAATTTTAATTTAAAAAGCAATACTTGATTCAGTTGTTAAAAACCTTAGGCATGCTTGGAACAATGTGAACATATACATGGACTTTTTCAACCTTAAATGTTATGAAATCTAAAGATAGATCTTTTTTCTGATGAGAGTTTATTGTCTGAGTTGAAACTGTACTCTAAGTACAAAATAAATACTAGATTTCCAAAACTTAATATAAAAATAATAATTTGTTACAATGATGATATGTTAACATATCTTGTACTTCATTGGTTGAATAAAATATATTATTAAATATGTATTAATAAAATTAGTTTAACTATTTCTAAATTTTTTAAAATGTGGCTATCAGAACATGTACAGTTACATTTGGGGTTGGCATTATCTCTATTTCTATTGGGCACTGCTAGTCTAGAAATGCAGGAGGCTGTGCCTGGGTCAAAAGAGTGTGCCCAAGGGTCCAATCAGTTCGCTGCCGCCTCCACTCAGGGGCCGACAGTCTTGTTTCCTGGGAAGTTTCTCCTTCAAATCCTTAAAAGGAACACCCAACCACACCTGAGGATTTAATTCTTAATTCTTGAATTATCGGAAGACTGGGTACTTTTCTCACAAACACAGAGATAATATTGGAATCTGTAACTAAAATGTAGGAGGTGCTAAAAGAACAACAAAAAAGCATATAAAAATCTTCCTAGTTTATCCAAGAGACATGGAGTTGATCACCTAGTGTTTGCCTGACAGGGATGATGTCTGGCCTGTCTCCGAGACTAATTTCTGGGGGTGCTCAGTGTAGCCCCATTTCAATCTGCAAAGTCAGCACACCCAGTGGCTCTCAAGAAAACCCACCAAGGGCCCATACAAGGACAGAACAAGAAAAAGTTTCCTTACATACATTTCTTGCGTCGTCCACAAAAATGCTGCTTTTGCAACCTTCGATGGTGATGTTCTCTTTCTTGACTCTGATATGTGTCGGGAGTGTGTCTTGGGGTATGACCAGGGTAATTCTGGCTGGAGCCCGGGTAGCCATGGTAACGCTGGACCGTCTCCTCAGCGGTCCTTTTGTACAGTATGTGAGGATGGTGGCCTGCAAGTGAGCTGTAGTTGTGTTCCTGGGCCAGCAGCTGAGGTAAAGGCGAGATGAGGAATTCATTTCTTCGTGTCCTTATTAGACCTGACTAAAAAGCCAAACACAAAGGAAACGTTAATGATTCTAGGTTTGCCTTTTTCATGTGTCGATTTGCAGCAACTGTTTATGGGCCACGTCCTGTGTGCAGGCCCTGTGCTAAATGCTGGACACGTATGTCTCATTTTATCTGTACTGCTAGCAGTTGCAACTCTTACCATCCCGTTTTACAGATGAGGAAACTGAGGCTTAGATAGTGAGTGGGAAAACTAACACTGGCGCAGTGGGAAAGGAAAAAGAATCTTTCCCCTGTCTTTCTAGGTTCTTGGCTGAGATTACCCCTGTAATAAAAAAACAAGTTAACAGGAGAAAAACAAACAGATGTTTAATAACATGTATCCCTCCATCTATACGTGGGAGATAATACCCAGGAAAACTGAGTAACGCCTGGAAGTGGCCCAAGCCACCACCTTAAACCTGTTTCATGACAGGAGTGCCTCAGCCAAGAACCTAAAAGGTGTGAAGAGTTGGCAGAATAGAGCCAGAGAAGTCCCTGCAGGGGAGCCCCTTGCACGTCTTGCTCCTTGAACTTTTGGAAAGTTTTAACTTGGCAACATAACCTTGGGACTGAGCCAAATTGTCTTGTAAATAATTGTTTGTAAAACTAACAGGAAAGCAGACATCCTGACCACAAGGACTGTGGATTGTGGACTCCTCTTCTGAAGATAGACTCAGTAATCAGCCATGTGCAGCTAAAGACTAACTCAGCCTGTTCGCACCAGTAGAGGTGCCTTTCCTTTCTTCACGCGCTCATTTCCCTTTCACGTCTCACAAGCGCCCCTTGCCTCCCCCCGTAATCAGCACACAGCTCCACAGCCCGGGTGTCCGCCTGCATCTGTGCCCCGGGACTGCAACTCTGTCATCTTACACAAATGCTTGTGGCCTCTCACTTTGACTTTTTACTTTAAGGGTAATAAGGGATAAAGAGAAAAATGACTCTTCCTCCCCTACCCATGCTTGAGGGAGTTTGCACACACTTCTTGCCTCCCATCTCCTCCTCCCACACACTGGCTTGGCTCTCTGGGGCTCACTGCCTATGTCTCAGCGTAAACAGCCTCTTCTCAGACCCTGTTTAAAACAACCCTTCCCCCACTTCTAAATTATCTCAGGCCACAGACTATTTGCTTTCGTCTATCTTCAGCAAAGGAAACAAACAAAAGACATCCTTCCCCTGCGACCTCTGAGGTACAATTTCAATGTACACTCTACAATGGCATCCCTGGTGTGTGCCACACATGAGCAGCCAATCAATATTCATTAGTCTATAAACATTAGTCTGTAAACATACCAGCACCTCCCACCCCTCCCTTTACAGAACTCTGGGAAAACCAGAGTTGGGAAGTGACATGTTCAAATTCACTCAGAACTAAAAAATACACGGCTATGTGGGCCCAGTGTGTTTGTCCCCTTACAGGATGACAATTATTTTATGACTTTCTCAAAATGGAACTTTTCACTGCATTTGAGTTGCCTATCATTCTCCTGAGACAGGGAGAAAAAAGAAAGCTCCCCAACTGGCTAGTCCAGTTACGGCACTGAAGTGGTTTGAGCCTTTGATACGACTTTAACCAGTTAGCAAGTTACTAAGGCTGGAGGGCTTTCAAGGATAATTCACTTTTTTTTTTTTTTTCAAGAACAGTTTAATGTTTTCACTGTGTTGGGGACTGTAACTGGGGAGGGCCCTCTTCAGGGAATGGGGGGCCTGAATTCCGCCTGTGCTTCCAGCTGAGACGGGCTCACAGGGTGGCTGTGAGGTTTAAACCCGGTCCCAGGTGAGGACAAGCAGAACCATCTGGACCTGTGATCAAACGGCGGACAAAATCTGATGCTGTTATGCCGAGAGCACACCAACTGATAACGCCCTCCGTTCTCTCTGCAGCACACAATGCTAAGAAATTGAAATGTAATTTTTTGCCGTCTGTGTCTACAGATGTGGAAACGGTTTGAGTGACACTTGGACAGGCCTTCACACGTGGACACAGACTTTGAAAAAACAGTGTATGTTCAGGATTACCCACTGCTGAAGGGGGGAAATCTCTTCGCTTTGGGAGAAAAAACCCAAAAATATGTGTGTCAACAAAAACCTGTCATTTCCTGTCCGTTCACTGATATCATTATTACCATCAACAGGACTCACAATAGAAATATGATTTGGAAGATTTATGTTTTCCAGATCCCTATACCCAATAATCTTCCTTCAAAAACCTGAAACGCCCAGTCAACCTGAACTTCACCAGATACTGTCAATATCCCCAAAGTTTTCGCAGCCTGGTGAGAGAGGGGGTCATGAAGCTGATAAGAGCCACCAAGTATCTTGACTTCTGTAACCGTTAAGTGTCCCTTTCATCCTTTCCCTTATCTCCTGGGGAAGTTTATAATCCTCTCAGGTACTCAAGTCCCTGATTTGTAAACTAGGAATAATAATAGCACTTCCCTTAGAGGGTTTTTAGAGGTTAAATGAGTTAATATTTTAAGTGCTAAGAACAGTGCTTGGCACAGAGAAAATACTCAGTACATGTTTATTATTGTGATTATTATATTTGATTATTTGAAGGAACAAAGCAAAGAAGTCACGCCTTTTTCTAACAGTGTGTTTGTATTATAATTTCCCCCTTCAATTGGACCAGAAATTCTGAGAAGTGGCATAAATGTTCTTTCTGTTTACTGAGAAAAACAATGAAAGGACTCAACAAGGTTTTAAGACCTGAAGAGAGACAGATGAGTGCAATTCTTGCCAATGTAACTGAAGATAAACACAGAGGAGAAATCATAATTCCTTTTTCTTTTTTAGCCTTGGATTGTCGCTTAACCCAAAGATTCTATGTTTTACTTTTTATTTGTTTGTTGGGTTGTTCTGATGGGGTTGAGAAAGACAGGGGGCAGGTAGAAAGGAAATCGCTAGACAGCTCCTCTTCAATGACCCTATTTGGATCCAGAATGTCCATGGGTCAAAATGTTTAAATCCAGCTTTCATCTACCCTGAAGACCCAATCTCTTGTCCACCTGCTGTCTCCTGAGAAGAGGCAGCTTCATGGGGAAAAGAATACTTTTGATTTGTTTTAAAGAAATAAATGGATGGTTATTGCTGGGAGGACCAAAAAAAAGCAAAGTAGACTTTCTGGAAAATATGGCAGAATGCACCTGATTGTGGACTAGAGCTTCCATGCTGGCCACCAGCTTAGATGGACAGGTTAAGGCCCACCTCCTCCCAGTGAACACCTGAGCAAATCCCTCCAAGGCTGTTCAACAGCTGCTCCCTGAGCACTGTGCCTGGGGTGCATGCAGCTGCCTTATCCAGGCGACCTCTGACCTAGGCCAGGCAGGTAGGGTTTCCATGCACTCTCAGTCTCTATGGCTTTCTAAATCGCACTGATAGTGATGGATTAGAGGGGAAAAGGGTCCAAAATACTTGCTGCAGTAGTTCTTAAAAAGGCCTGGCTTTTTTTTTTCCTTCCCTAGCTTAGGATGTTCAGCTCCTTCTTCAAGTACTTCAGTAGGCACAAACCAACTATCCTTTTCTTGCACTTACTAACCAATCTTGGCTCCAAGACAGTATCAGCCAACATGGCTTTGACCACATGCAATGGTTTATGCTACTGACACAAAGATAAATCGTCTCAGTCCCTTCTTCAAAGCACTTAAGCTATTAGCTGTCTGTACTGGTCTAGATTATGCCATTCTGGTGTCTCTTAAGAGATATTAATAACATACTGATGAAACTTATTTATTTGGCTAATTAACAATATTTCCATTGAAATAAACTCTTAATTACTTCAACAGCCCAAGTCTCAGGAGACCAGAATACAGTGGCTCACAACTCAAACACTGGGCTGAGAGGTGTGAGCCAATGATGTCCAACATATGGCTGTGCCCATTCTCCAAAGGACATTTACTTCTGAAAAGCTCTATTTTTTAAACAATGCACTAATATCAAAATGGTTGGCGTGTTTACCACAGGTTATTATATGAATTTTAATATTAATTTCAAAAAAATTAAATCCACAAATGCTCATAAATACACTTTTTATAAGCAGTCAAAAATCTATGACTTAACACTTGTAAATTAATCCAAGTAGTTTAATCATGGCCAATAGACGTCTCTTGCCTTTTCTCTCCACCTTCCTTTGCTGCCCCCACCAAAAGGGGGAGTTGCTCACTGTTTTCCATGCACCAGGCAGTGTACGAAATATTCTACCTGCGGAATCTCATCTGACTCTCACGATCGTCCTGTTCGATAGCCACTCTTATGAAACCTTCCGTATGATACAGCCTTCCCACACCCTTAAATATACATCCCATTAGGATTCAAGGAAAGTTCCAGAAACACTGTATTGTATAACTAAAACTTACTAAGAGAGAACCTGAATGTATGTGTAAAAAATTCTTTTTAAAAGGGAAATATATGCCCTACCTAGTGTGGCTCAGTGGATTGAGTGCCGACCTGTGAACCAAAGGGTTGCCAGTTCGATTCCCAGTGTAGGGCACATGCCTGGGTTGCAGGCCAGGTCCCCAGCTAGGGGTGCGCAAGATGCAGCCACACATTGATGTTTCTTTCCCTCTCTTTCTCCCTCCCTTCCCCTCTCTAAAAATAAATAAAATCTTCTTTTAAAAAGGAAAATATATGAAGTGAAGAATGTGTTCATTAACTCAATGGGGAATGTCTTTTCATAATATAGGTAAATTTAAATCGTCACATTATATACTTTAAATATCTTACAATTTTGTCAATTATATGTCAATAAAGCTGAAAAAAAGAGAAAGGTTCCATAGAGGATATGACTGTTTTTTTGGCAAAGTAGGTTAACAGCTCAAATAACTGACTCTTAAGAACAAAACACTTCTGGGCTGGCTTAACATAAGTGCCAACCTGTCAACTCCCTTTTACTGCCATTTCCCATGGAAAGGAAAAACACTGAGAGACACCCATGAATCGGATCTTCTAGACATGAAGGTTGGGGTCAAGTGATGCAAAAATCAGAGCCATCCCTTTGG